GGGCTGGGGCCTGGGTTCCTGGGTCTTGGGGAGGTGGGGGCTGGGGCTTTCACTCCTAGGACCTGGGAGGTAAGGGCTGGGTTCCTGGACTCCTGGGTCTGGGTTGGTGGGGGCTAGGGCCTTTACTCCTGCCACCTGGGGAGATGGGACTGGGGCCGGGGTTTCCCTGGGCCAGGCTGAGGCTTGAACACTGGCATGCTCAAACCAAGCAATGTTTTCTCCTGCAGGATGTCTGGGCCATGCGCCGATGGTGCTGCTGCTCCTCTCCTTCACGCTCTTCACTGGGCTCCTAGTGGCCATCCTTATCCAAGGTCAGCTGCAGGCTCTGAGAGTCCTGGCCTCCCAGGCCTGGTTCTTCTGCTGTAGATGCAGCTGGGGGTGGCCAGGTCCAGTAGGAACAAGAGCCTAAAAGCTGGTCTTCTTTCCCGTTAGGTTTCTAGGGACCTCTCCCCAGGGCCACTCCCACCTCCAGGGTGGGGGAGGGAAGGAGGAACCTGGCTCTCCTGGCCCTTGCGAGCCGCCATCTCTGGGTGTCAGTTTTTCTTATCCACAAAAGAGTTTAAACAAGATTTTGGTGCTCAGAAATGATAACCTTAATGGCACAGTGTAGGGCACGGTACATGGCAGGTGTTTAATAATTGCTATTTCTAAGGCTGGGCATAGTGGCTCATGACTGTAATCCTAGCACTTTGGGAGGCCAAGGTGGGTGGATCACGAGGCTGGGAGTTCGAGACCAGCCTGACCAACATGGTGAAACCCCATCTCTATTAAAAATACAAAAAAAAAAAATTAGTCGGGCGTGGTGGTGTGCACCTGTAATCCCAACTACTCAGGAGGCTGAGGCAGGAGAATTGCTTGAACCCAGGAGGTGGAGGTTGCAATGAGCCAAGATTGTGCCACTGCACTCCAGCCTGGGTGACAGAGCAAGACTCCATCTCAATAAATAAATAAATACAGTTTCTTTCCTTGCCCAGTCTCCAAGAACCCCAGCTCCCAGAGGCAGGAGCAGTCCATGCAGGAGGAGATCTCCCAGGATCTGACCCAGCTGAAGGCTGCGGTGGGTGAGTGGCCAGATGCCAGGGATCCTTGGGCCTGGGAGCATTTCCATATGGTGTGACTTTTCTTGAGTCACGGACCCTCTCTGGGTCTCAGTTTTCTTCTCTGTGAAATGAGAACACAGATGAACAGCGATTATCTCACTCAGTGTTCTCAGTGGGCCAGGTACATGGTAGGCACGCAGTTAAACTAGTCTCTCGCCTTCTGTTCTGAGCTCTAAAGCCCTGACTTTTCCTAGTCTGGAGGAGATGGGGCCAGGACTCCTGGGTTCTCCTGGGGTTGGGGGAGGGTCTCGGGAAGTGGGGAGGGAAATGGTCCACCCAGCATGAACAGTCAAGGAAGGGCCCCGATTCTCAAGGTCTTGAAGGCTGGGAACACCCAGGAATATGGGTAACCTAATCTGAGTCCACTCATGACCAGCGTTCCCCAACAGAACGCCTGTGCCGCCCCTGTCCCTGGGAATGGACATTCTTCCAAGGAAACTGTTACTTCATATCTAACTCCCAGCGCAACTGGCACGACTCCGTCACCGCCTGCCAGGAAGTGGGAGCCCAGCTTGTCATAATCAAAAGTGATGAGGAGCAGGTACACCTGGTGGGGTCCCTGGCCTGGCCTGGGGCATAGCTTCTGGCCAACCAGAGAGGAGATTCTCAGAGAGGATTTTGCAGAAGAGGGGTTTTGCTCCACTTGGAAAGATGGGAGGAGAAGGATATGAATGAGGGCGTCCCAGGCACCCTTAGAGCAGATACAAACTAGATCTAAACATGTGTGAATGTTCTGGGGAAAATATCAAATATAAGTAACCCCCAGTGGCGTGCTGCAAGTGTTTAACAACCAGCTCTCTGGGGGGAAAAGTCCTGATGTGTCATGTTGGCTAATTTCCCTGGTGTAAATATTCCCACTGTGGCTGATTTCAAACATCAATGTGATGTTACTCCGTGCAGAGCTGAAAGGAGATGTTCCTGACCAGCAATTAGGAAATGGTTGGATCTGGCTCCAATACATTATTAAGCCCAGTTATGAGTAAATTTGTGTGGGCCTTCACGGAACGTGTGAAATGGATGGACAGGCAGGATTAGCAAGAGTGTGTGAGGAGAGGCCAGCTGTGCATGGATGCCTGCATGTCAGGACACATGTGTTGTGGGAGACACATGTGAGAGAGTCAGACATGGGGGGGCACTTAGGACCCAGAATACAGGAAGGCTGAAGGTTAGCCTACAAGCAGAACTTCCTGCCAAGAAATGGGGAGGTGGAGCCTGGAAAGTGGGAAGCAGAACTCCCTCCTGACTCCTCCTCTACCCTCCAGAACTTCCTACAGCTGCAGTCTTCCAGAAGCAACCGCTTGGCCTGGATGGGACTTTCAGACCTACATGAGGAAAACACGTGGCAATGGGTGGATGGCTCACCTCTGTCACCCAGGTAGATCCCGGGAGAAGGGGACATCCTATCCAGTGGGGATGGGGTCCTGAAACTCTGACTTGAACTTTCCCTGGGGATCCTTCCCCACTCTCAGACACCCTAGATTCAAGAATCTGGGGTTTTTACTGAGTTGAGAAAGGTGGTCTTCATACCCATCTGCAGACAGGATAGCAGGTGCCTAAAATTCCACCAGCAGAGCTGCAGGAGGAGCCTGCCACCCAGGTGGATGTGTTAAAAGATAGTGTATCAGACTGGGTGCGGTGGCTCACGCCTGTAATCCCAGCACTTTGGGAGGCCGAGGTGGGTGGATCACCTGAGGTCAGGAGTTTGAGACCAGCCTGCTCAACATAGTGAAACCCCATCTCTACTAAAAATACAAAAATTAACCCGGTATGGTGGCACACACCTGTAGTCCCAGCTACTCAGAAGGCTGAGGCAGGAGAATCACTTGAACCCGGGAGATGGAGGTTGCAGTGAGCTGAGATTGCACCATGGAACTCCAGCCTGGGTGACAGTGCAAGACTCCATCT